TTGCTCTGTCGCCAAGACTGGAGTGCAGTGGCATGATCTCAGCTCACTGCAACCTCTGCCTCTTGGGTTCAAGCGATTCTCCTGCCTCAGCCTCCCTTGGGAAGCTCCACCACGCCCTGCTAGTTTTTTGTATTTTCAGTAGAGATGGGGTTTTACCATGTTGCCCAGGCTGGTCTCGAACTCCTGACCTCAGGTGATCCACCTGTCTCAGCCTCCTAAAGTGCTGGGATTACAGGTGTGAGCCACTATGCCCAGCTGGGTTAGCCTATTCTGCACGGTTGTCAGGTCTGAGCATTTAGGTTGTACACTGTACAAGGGTAGCCCATCAAAAGGGTTGCTTCTCTCATCTGCCCCCACCTCCATCTAGACCAGTGCCATGGGGAAGAGGGGGCTGAGGAGTCTGCATGATGTTGGCGGTGTGTGGGCTGTGTCCAGAATGTGCATGAGTGAGTGAGAATAGGGTGTATGTGTTTGTGCAGCCAGGCAGGGATGCTTAGTATAGTTGCTCAGACTGTGTAATAATACGTGGACTTAGAAAAAACTTCACTTGAGGCTGGGCCTGGTGGCTAATGACTGTAATCCCAGTATTTTGGGAGGCCGAGGCAGGTGGGTCACCTGAGGTCAGGAGTTTGAGACCAGCCTGGCCAACATGGCAAAACCCCATCTCTACTAAAAATACACACACAAAAAAAAATTAGCTGGGGGTGGTGGTAGGCACCTGTAATCCCAGTTACTTGGAAGGCTGAGGCAGGAGAATTGCTTGAACCCAGGATGCAGAGGTTGCAATGAGCCGAGATCGCACCACTGCACTCCACTTGGGTGACAGAGCAAGACTCTGTCTCAAAACAAACAAACGAAAAAAACAAAACCAAAATCCCCGCCCCACCCCCCCCAAAAAAACTAAACATTTTACTTGGGCAAAGGGAGTCTTTTTCTAATTCCCACAGAGGTGCTGCCTGGGTCCTCCCATGATCCCAGCCCCTGCGTATTTCCCACTGGGTAAGGACTCCCTGTGTGAAAATGGGAAGGATGTTGGCGGCTCATTCCAAGTGTCTCCTTTCTCAGATGAAGAATCCATGCTCCAGGAAGGGAAAGCTTTGGCTGACTCTAGGCAGGCCCAGGAGGTCTGAGCAGAGACATCTAGGCCAGGGTGGGGTGAGGGGTACATACCAGTACTGTCCCCCAGAGTCCAGCAGGTACATCTCATCTGAGGACAGCTTGCGGTTCAGCTCCCTGGTTGGGCTGAGAAAGGGAAAGAATGCTGAGAGGGGCAGCCTAACGCTGCGCTGGGTCACATGGGGGTCCTTGGTGGGAGGACCTCTGGGGCTTGGGCTTCCAGTCCAGCTCCTCTGGGGGAAGTCATTCTCTCCCAAAGGGCCCTGGAAGAGAACTCAGCTTCCGTTGCTGCCATCCTCAGCACACATCTGTTAATCCTGCATCTGGCTGAGCCAGGCCCTCGTCCCCAGGGAGGGGACAGGGAGGAGCCCAGAGTGTGAGAGCTGGGAGAGCCCGAGAGACCTTCCAGCCCAGCCATCTCCCTTTCCACAAGGAAAAACAGGCTTATGGAGGCTGAGGGGTTTGCATGAGGGCACGCGGTAAAGCAGTGAGGAGCTGGGCCTCCACCCGGATGCTACCTCCGGCCCTTTGTCTCTGACTTCCTGCTGCCTCTGAGAGCAGACAGTCCCCAGAAGAAGCCAGAGCACAGGAAGGGAGGGTCCCTCCAGGGCGGAGCTGCAGAGCAAGAGGTGGTGAAGCTGAGGAGCACCCACGCCACCACTCTGGCCCGAGTAGGGAGGAGGGGCTGGGGCAAGGCAGCTGAAGGTGTGGGAGACACCAGGGGACACCCAGGGAGGGAATTCTGGCACAGGCTAGGCACTCCCTTGGAGGGCATTGACCTCTCCCTGCTGTGCCCATGCCAGGCAGAGGCAGCTGGTCAGCTTGACTCCCCCACATTTCATCAGGCAGGCCTGCAGCGGTTTGTTTTCTGTTTGTTTGTTTGTTTGTTTCTTTTTGAGATGGAGTGTCGCCCTGTTGCCCAGGCTGGAGTGCAATGGCAAGATCTTGACTCATTGTAACCTCTGCCTCCCGGGTCCAAACGATTCTCCTGCCTCAGCCTCCCAAGTAGCTGGGATTACAGGCACCTGCCACCATGGCTGGCTAATTTTTGTATTTTTAGTAGAGACGGGGTTTCACCATGTTGGCCAGGCTGGTCTCGAACTCCTGACCTTGTGATCCACCTGCCTCAGCCTCCCAAAGTGCTGGGATTGCAGGTGTGAGCCATCGCGCCCGGCTGCAGGGGTTTGTTTTCTATGGGGTCAAATACCTGGCTAGCCTGCATCTTGGGCCCACCTTGGTTGGTTCAGACTGAGTGAACAGGTCTCTCTCCGTGTGAGCTCTTAAGCTTTAAGAATTAGCTGACATGCCGGGCGCGGTGGCTCACGCCTGTAATCCCAGCACTTTGGGAGGCCGAGGCGGGTGGATCACGAGGTCAAGAGATCGAGACCATCCTGGTC